GGTATCAGATTCTTCTCCGTACTCTCCTCTCTTTCTCAAACACGACCATCTCGTAAACCCTCTTGATTCTGACGATGAAGATGTTATAGACCAATTGTCTTTGACTGTGTTAGCTTCTTGCTTCAGGGTAGTTTCAACTCTCTTTTTCCTCTTTAATTTGTAGACTAAAAAGAAAACCATGATGACAAACCCGATTCCTGCTATATCTCCGACTATAATTCCTACTATTGTTCCTGGTTTGAGCTTGCTTTGTCCTGATTTTTTGGCTCCAGGAGATGGTTCAGGCGTGTCAGAGTCCATCGTCTTGGGGATGGCAGCGATTGCTGGAGGAGAAGTTGGTGAAGAGACGTTAGGAGGAGATGATAGTGAAGAAGGAATCGGACAATCACGCCTGGTTACTTCACCGCACAGATCAGGATTTCCGGAAAAAGATTTGGAATCTTGATTCTTAAAAACAATAGAATCGGGGATTTCTCCTGTAAGATTATTGAAGGAAAGATCAATAGTAGCGTTACCAGGAATTTTCTCTGCGAATTGTGGTGGAATTACCCCGGAAAGCCTGTTGTAAGAAACGTTCAAGTACCTAAGATTGTTGCCTCCAAAGTTTGGAGGCAAAGACCCATCGACAAGATTGGAAGACAGATCTAAAACTTGAACACTTTGGAACCCAGTTGGAAGATTGCCAGAAAAGTAATTATTCTTCAAAGAAACAACAGTTAGATTTTGGATGGTAGTGAGAGTGGCAGGTAAAGTTCCCGCCAATGCATTGTCAGAAAGGTTAAGGAATTGGAGGTTTCGTAACTGTCCCACCGTTTCTGGGATCCCACCAGAGATCAAGTTGTTTGACAAATCAAGAAACCGAAGCTGGGTTGCGTTGAAAATGGAAAAAGGAAGGGACCCGTTAAGAGAATTGTTGGATAGATCAAGATTTTCAAGGTATTGAATCATGCCCAGACCGGATGGAATTGAACCAAGAAGCTGACAGTTTGGAAGAGACAAGCTTGTAACACGAGAGTAGTCATTGTTGGAGTTACTTGGTGCTCCACAGGTTACCCCATTCCAAGAACAAGGCGTCTGGCCACGGTAGTTCCAGCTCTGTAGCACGTTTAGAGGATCACTGAGAACAGATTGCTTGAAAGAAAGCAAGAGAATCCCATCAGTGTTTAGCCCCAAACCTTGAACCACAAGAAACTCAAGAATAACAAGAATTCTCCACCATAAATGGAGTTTAACACTAGAGGAGGAACTCATGATTTGTCAAACTGATCCCACATTTCTCCTATGGAAATAGACACAAAGAGAGAGAGAGAGACAGGGAAGGGAGAGAACGAGAGAGAGAGATGACTAAGAGAAGTAACTGAGATTTATCATTTATGTTAATGAAGGTGCAGAGGCCATGTGATGAAAGTAGGTTAAAAAGAATAATTATTAAATTACAAGAGAAGAGAGCTACGAAATACACAGCTCAACAAAAAAAGCTAGTCATCACCAAAATGTTCTGGTGCGCAGCTCTCTGAAGAGATATAATTTAAGGTTTGCTAGAAATGATTAAATGCTATCACCGTTGGTTTTATAAATTTATTCTCTCTCTCTCTCTCTCTCGCTTGTGATCACATTTATTAAACAATTTTTTTAATTAAAAAAAATCACCTACAGGATCAGTATAGAATAGCATCTTTGCTACAAGACACCTATCTGAAGTTGAAAGTTGCAGTGGCTCTCTCTTAGATTGACTTTACTGAAACTTTCTGTTTCTTTAATGTTTTTCTGTGCTGGAAATACTAGATGCTGTAAACCTGTTGGTAAAATAGATATTATTAGGCTTTGGTAATTTGCCGGTAGGAAGATTGGCATGAGCTTTACTTCTTTCTTGTCAATGGTTATCAGATGGGTAGCAGCATTATCTTAATACAGAAACCAGCAAATCTACAAATTTTTTTGGATGGGTGAAATTACAATTTCATAATAAACCTAATTGCTACAGGTCAAGTTAGTCCTGTTTATTTCTTCCAAACATCACAGACATATTGCTCCACGCTTTCACCGAAAGGGGAATAGTATTCTTTTCTTCTTTTTGGCACAAGGACAAGGGAATGAGTATATATTCTCAATACAGGTCATATTTACATTATTTTTCTGGGTTTGTCAATTTTGCATGATTGTGTGTAAGACACATCTGTTTCCTCAATCAATCAGGTATATTAACTGTTGTTCTTCGAAAGATAAATGTATACTTGCAAATTGCCAATGGAAAAATAAAACGGGCCTGGAAAGGAAAGTGGGGGGAAAATAATCAAACTTGCTGCATTGATGGCCATAGTATCCAGGGCAACATTATTGTGGAGGGGTCCTCAAAAGGGTCCTTAATATCATCTCATCAGAACGTCATTATTGGATTTATGAGAATTTTGGGTCTTCATTCATTGCTCCCACCGGTTCAAGAATTTGACTAGCTGCTAAGCCATTGGATATTAACAACGTCTACTATACTTCCAAGGATGAAAATCTTGTAGAATTTGATTTGACCATGGCCCCCAACAACGAGCTATCGGGGACTTGCCTCACATAATTACAGGGGCGTACAATGTTTAAATGATCTGTTCCTGCTGTTTCAATGAAGGAGTGATATGTGGGTATCTAAGACAACAAAAAAGGGAAGGGATATGTGATGGAGAGCAAGAAAACAAGGAAAATAAAAGGTGAAAATGACCGCCAAATGAAAATCATGCGTATGATGTTGGCAAGCTGTTTACTTCATAAGCAACCAAAAAACCTGGTGATGGTCTTTTATCTGCAAGGGATTATCTAATAGTCGTTAATTACTTCAAATGAACAATTTAATCTATGGTCCGATCCACGAAATTTTTCTAACTAAGCCTAACAGGGCATGTTATGCTGTCTGCTTTTTCAGAACCCAAGCTTTCTTGTCCGTAATATGGAATAACATGCGACCAATAAGCAGCTATGATTCCTCCTCCAAATTGTCCTTATTTTTGGCAGTGGACAAGATGATCAGGAGGTCCATAGCTCTCTTTTTCAACCTTTTGCAAGATTCCAGATTTGGATGTAGATTTACCATTGTCTAATTTGTTGTCACCAAGCGAGATTTGAGTTTGATGACAATAGACCGGAAGCTTGGATTATGTTCTTCACTGCAGATATTGGCTGCTCCATCCCAGAAATTTTAAGATCTAGACTTGTAGTCTTGTGTACACATGGGAATGCATTATGTCATCCATCATCATCTCCTCCTCCCCCCAGCCTTTTTTATTCTTCTTTTTTCTTTTTAAATTTGTTTGTGGCAGCTTTAACCACCTGGTTACAATATAATTAAGCAACTAAGAAAAGGAGGTTAATACATTACGGTGTCAATAAATACAAGATTAAAAAGGATTTGTGTAGCCTGCTGCCTTGTTTGGTGTGGTCCTTTCACAGTGCATGCACAAACAAGATTAGGAAAGTCTCTTACTTTCTAGTACCTCTCTATTAATAATGCCAGTTCCTTTTTCTTCCTGTTTTCTTTATAATCCCTCTTTTCCTCCATTCAGAATGAAGAATAAAAATCAAAAGAAGGAAAAGGATGGGAAAGCTCTAAAGCATTGAACTTTTTCTTTTATGTTAAAAAGCCGGTAATGGCAACATTAGAGAGGTTCTGCAGGTGTGGGAGTTGGCCCCCATGACATGTTTTTCTTGAAGATGAAAAGAAACTTTTGAAAAGGTCCATATGGATCCACCAGGCCCTTTGGTCAAAGATTTTGATCTTTGACAGCTTGCTAATTAGCATCTACCGTCAGTTTAAAAAAGAAGAGGAAAGCAACAGGATAACATTTTGCAGTAATTGGCATCATGTCTTCTACAGTTCCACTTCCCATCTTTTTCATTTATGGATGAAATTCCCAGCAAAATACTGAAATAAGAATATTGTCAAACAAAAAACACACAAAGGAAAAGTGGAAAACTACCATGTGTGACTTTATTTTGGAGTCAACAGACTAAGTTGCTGGAGTTGCTTCAGTTGAGCAGCTTTTACTTTTTTTCTCTTCACCCCCTCTCGAACCCCAAATGGGCGGATCGTGTTTCTCCTTCTCTTCATTGACACGAAACCGAATTGAAGCTATCAATTTCCAGACGTGTTATTCAGCAGGTACAAAGCACCAAATCCTTAAATAAGTTAATATACATAGACATGATAGTAAGAGGTTTTGGGCTTAAACTACCATTACCAGAATCTTAACTGCCTGTTTTATGAATAATTGAAAAGGTTTATTTTTGATGGCCAGAATGCAACAACCAAGAAGTTTGTGTTATTGTCCCTATATTAAAAGCTTTCTAATCAGAAAATGCTAGCTACTACTTTCAGTTGAAACGACTTAAGGAAAACAATTACCCAGCTTGAGAAATATGTACTGTGCTTTTGCTTGTCTGAGTGCGGGTCGTGCCAACTCCTGCCTTTTTTATCTTCTTACAGTTTCGTTGGAAAGGACCAATAAAAAAGGAAAGAGAAAAATAATTTGTTCGACAGCCAACCAGTATCTAACTAGATTTGATTACCAGTTCAAAGCTAAGAGTAGGGACATCCTACAGCTGAAGTGATAAGAGATGGGGTTTTGCTGAAAGATCAGAGGCTGAAATTTTCTGAATAAAACAGAGAGACATTTTCAGGCCTTTTTTGCTTGGTGTCATCAGTCAGTCAAACCCCAGCAACATTGCTAATGAGGCATGAAAGAAAAGATGGTTGAGAAGTTCCATGGCCTAAATCTTACAAGCAATTGCTTTTACAAGGTAGTAGGTCAATGTAGAAAACCCTGGTGGTATTTCTTGTACTGCCAATTTTGGTGATACGTCTTTCACATGCCAACCTAATGATTTGATATATGATGAGATACAAACACAGCCAATCTGTTCCTTTTAGGTGAAGAATTTGGTTGGTCTTAATATTTTGCAGAGCAAAAAATTTTGGATAGAATAAGGTTTGGACAAAAAATTACAAGCACGACTTAATTAATGCATGCAACGAATAATTGAGCTTTTCCCTGGTGCATATTGACTAGGTTGCCAAATTCCTGCAATCTTCCGTCCCCCTGGTGGGACAATGGCGCCTGCCTTTTTTGTCCTGGTAAGCCATTAATTTCCTCTTTATTTGATTGGCATTTGAAAGGGGTCCTATTTTTGTCACACATAATTAAAAAGCCAAGTCGAGTCTCGTAAAAAAAAAGAAGTTAAAACCAACGTGTAATCCCACATGTTTAGCCACTTATTAACCAATCTTTTTTCTTTGAGTGCAAAATCATGCCAGTACAAAGAGAGACAAGACGGGGAATGAAGTGGTTTATCTTTTGAATAATGGAACATTCACTTAGCCCCGTGAATAGGATCAAGTCATGGCCTGCTCTGGCTTCAAATAATGAGCCTTAGAATACAACCGGGTCATTCGGCGAGGTTTAATAGTTTCTTCCGTAAGCTCGTTACCCAACTTTTTCAGGCAGCTTGTCAACGCCTTGGTTGGATTTTTCAGAAAGTTTTTTGTCTCGAGTTCTGCCCTAGATCGGTGAAAGGAAACATGGGAATCTAATTTTTAATGAAGCTAGTGTGCTTGGGCGGTTCATAATTCCATTTCGTTGAGGAATAAAGTTGATCTTGTTAGTCGTAATGTGAATGCCATTAATACAATCTACATATATTCCAAACCCCAACAGATATTGTTTCCAACTCGAACATTGACAGAAATATATAATATGGCCCAACAGATGTTTGGGTTTGAACATTCCAAAATGTATTAAATGCGCTTTGATTTAATCGGTTTGACAGATCTTGACTCGAGAGAACTCACTCTAGCGCTTTTAATGAATGGGAAGTTGTATAAACTTGGAAGAGAAGAAAATGCTTGTCGAAAGTTAGAACTTCAAGACACTAGGTGACTAGGAGTTGCCTTGCTCTTCGTGTGGGCACATGGTGTCACATGCGCCCTGAAATTCCAGCCCGTTGCTGGTGGTTTTCTCTTCTTAATGGGCCTGTTGTTGCGACCCAAACTCTTATGAGCCAGGTCTAGCTAAGACCCAATTTAATTGTCGAAGCACCCAAGAGGCCACAACCATGCAAATAGGTGGATGATTGGGGGACGCCCTTACCCAATCTGTTGTACCGTGCAGCCGGAACTTAGATGCTTGGGCCTTGTACCTCAATCTCCAGGCAAATCACCCATAGCCATGCAAATAGGGGAGCCTGTGGCCATTGGCAATTGAATATTATAAGAACACAGAAGGTACATTCTCTCATCCCGCATACTGCTCCCGCCCCTCCCAGGAGCCCTAATATATACTATGATGAGAATAAAAGAAAGATGGATGGCTTTCAGTTTTCTTCACTAGTATCTTTTGTTAAGAAACCTACGACAGTCAACGTGGAATGTTCTCATTCATCTTCACAAAAGAGGTACAAATTGATATCTTGGAAAGCTCAACCACATTCTTGAGTCTGTTGCCAGAGCAAACTAGTGTTTATCTCTGACTCTCTTACTTTTATCTCAACATAAAAAGCAAAGAACTGATCGGCATAAATTTAGAAAACAAAAATCGATTAATTTCAAATGATTCTATCACAAA